CCGTGTTTATGTTGAAGGAAAGGGCTTGCTCGGCTTGATCGATGGCACGTCGGCAAAGCCCACAACTACGACTGAAGAAATTGCTAAGTGGTCTCAACAGGATGCGAAGGTGAGATCTTTGATTTTGGGATCTGTCGATCCTACGATTGTGCTAGCTTCATTTGTTGACTGAGCAAGGTCTATGTGGAAGCATCTTGCAACGACCTATTCTTCTCACAATATGGCTCGGCAGTTTGAGGTGCAAACCGAGCTCGATCGTCTTCATCAAGGAAATAAGGATGTCTCTGCTTACAATAATGCTGCCCAAGAATTGTGGACTGAGCAAGACTTACTCACAGCAGCTCTTCGTTCTACACAAGCCTCTGCGGAAGTGATTGCGGACCGCCAACAACAGCGGTCTCCAATTCCTAATGCGTCTCCGCCTAGAATTTGAATCAGTCCGGTCCACTCTTGTTAATCAAGACACACTCACGATGGAAGGGATTCTGGGTAAGCTCATGCGTGAGGAAGACCGATTGCGGATGCAGTCCCAGCTGAATGCACGTCCCGGCGAAGGGGATGCAGTGTTCTCCGCCATGACAGCTGCACCGGGAGCACAGGTCACTTCCGACTCGGCCTATGCAGTGGGGCGCCCTCAGTTCTAGCAACGCGTGCCCATCTTCGAGCTTGAATGTCATCATTGTCATGTGAAGGGTCACCTCCAGAAGCACTGTCGACAACACAATTTTTGCGTCTATAGCAAGAAATCGGATCATATTGTTCTCGGTTGTCCCGCCGCGCGGGAATCGTCGTCGGAACAATGGTGGTTCTCGTTCGGATGGCTCGCCCGCTGCTCCTCCTGCTGCCTTTGCTTCGCAGGCTGCTGCACCTGCTCCTGGTTCCCATCTCACAGTCGAGGCAGTTGAGGGTTTAGTTAATGTTGCCCTTCAACGTTCACTCCCTACAGCCCTCAGCTCCGCGTTTGCCTCACTCCAAACCTCAGGTATGCTTAAACCTTGGCTTTTAGATTCTGCATGTTTCAACCACATGATGAGTGATACAAGTTGCTTGAAGAATGTATCTCCTGTTCAGAATCTATTACTCCAGGTTTCTAATGGTCAAATATTGAATGTTGCGGCCATTGGCAGTCTTAGGAAGCTGACTATTGATCTCCCTAATACTCTCCATGTTCCTCAGTTATTCCCTAATCTGGTTTCTGTGGGGCAGCTTACTGAGCAAAGTTTATAGAGTTGTGTTTGTTTCGTCTGATTGTGTTGCGCAGGACGAGACGACGGGGAGGCAGGTCGGGCGTGGGAGTAGACTTGGGCCCGATTTTCACTTGGAGGAACTCTCGGATCAGCCATCGTCACATTCGTCGTTGTCTATGTCTAGTAGTATGTCGAAATATATCTTCTCTTGTTCCGTTTTTTCGAGTCTAGCTGATCAAACTTTCAATTTGTGGCACTCCCGCCTTGGTCATCCACATTCGAGTCGGCTTGTATCCATGTTTAAACGTTAGTTACTTGGAAATAATAAGATGGTTGCTAGTTACCCCAATCTTGCTTGTACTAGTTGCGTCGATGCTACGTCTACTAGCAAAAGCTTTCCTTCTAGTACCACCGTTATTGATGATTCATTCCATCTTATCCATACGGATATGTGGGGACCCTCTCATGTGATTTCTCGCAATGGCTATCGCTACTTTGCTTTATTTGTGGACCATGCTACCCGTTTTGTTTGGGTTTACTTCCTCCGTCTTAAGTCCGATCTCCTTCCCATTGCTACAGAGTTTCTGGCCATGATACGTACCTAGTTCAATAGACCTGTTAAGATTGTGAGATTGGATGAAGGTGGCAAGTTTAGCTCGAATACTCTCCTAGATCTTTATCGAGCTTTGGGCATCTTGTATCAGAAGGCATGTCCCGGTGTATCCCAGCAAAATGGTGTAGTTGAGTGTAAGAACTGCCATGTGTTTGAAATCACTCGGGCTCTCCTCCTTGAGCCATTTGTTCCACCCTGGTTCTGGCATGAAGTCGTGTCTACTGCTGTCCGTTTGATCAAATACCAGATCACGTCTGTTCTTAGTGATAGGAGCCCCTACTTTGCCCTGTTTTCATGTCATCCTGATTATGCTAGCCTACGTGTGTTTGGTTGTACGTGTTTTGTTCTTCTTCCGCGTCGTGAACGTGATAAGTTCTCGTATAAAATTGCTAAGTGTGTCTTTCTTGGTTATAGTTTTGTTCACAAGGGTTATGTATGTTATGATCCTTCCACTGATCGTATCTGTATTTCCTGTAATGTGGTGTTTTTCGAGCACCTTCCTTTCTTCGAGTCATCTTCCGAGTCTCAGTCATTTGTCTAGCAGTTGTGTCCTCTGCCTTTTGAGTCTGCTGATCCGGGAGATCTCTTTACTGCTGACGATGGACCTGATCAACCGCCCGACCTGCTCCCTCCATCATCACCGCCCCTCAGTCCCATCTCATCCAGTTCCTCGTCGTCATCAAATTCGGAAGCTTCATCACCTTCGCCTTCTCCTCCTCCAGTGGCCCACCGACACTCGACTCGCTCTACGTTTGGACAACCCCCATCTCATTTGCGTGATTTTGTGACCTATAATGTTGCTGGTATTGTGGTTCCTACCAGGTATAAGCAAGCTCATGGACATACCGAATGGGAGGGACCAATGGATGTTGAAAAAGATGAATTGCATGCCAACAACACTCTGACTCTAGTTGATAGAGCTCCGCCTCCCATTCCCGTCATTGGCAGCCGCTGGGTTTATGATCTGAAGCTTCGACACGATGGGAGTCTCGAGCGCCACAAGGCGTGTGTGGTGGTGCAGGGCTTCAGTCAGGAGTTTGGTATTGATTATACCAAAATATTTGCTCCAATTGCGAAGATGCAGACAGTCCGTACTCTGCTTGTCGTGGCCGCGATGAGGGGTTGGTCTTTACTGCAGCTTGATGTGAAGAATGCTTTTCTTCACGATGATCTACATGAGGTGGTTTATATGGAGAAACCTCCCAGGTATGAGCTTGGATATCCTAATCAGGTTTTTCGGGTTAATAAGTCGCTCTATGATCTGAAACAGGCTCATCGCGCCTGGTTTGATAAGCTGCAACAGACTGTCACGGATCTGGGTCTTTGTCAACGTCTTAACGACCCGTCTTTATTTCTTCGTAAGTCGGCTGCTGATCTCATGGTGCTCTTAATCTATGTTGATGATATGGTCGTGACTGGGGATGATGGTGCGGGTATTCGTGCGTTGACAGATGGCCTTCATGCCGCTTACAATCTTAAGGAACTCGCTTCCTTATCCTATTTCTTGGGTCTCGAGGTAACCCGCACACCTGATGGGATTTTCTTGAACCAGCATAAGTATATTGATGATCTTTTGCAGGACACTCAATTTGGCACCGATCGTCCAGTTTCCACTCCCATGGAAGTAAATGTTAAGCTTGGTCGAGATACAAGCACACTACTCATCAATGGGTCTCGTTATCATCTATTGTTGGTAGTTTGATTTACCTCTATCATACTCGTCCTGACATATCGTATGCAGTTCAGGTGGTCAGTCAGTTCATGGTCAATCCGCGTGATGCTCATTTTCTTGCTGTTCAGCGTATTTTGCGGTATCTTCACCAGACATGACACGTGGGTCTCTTCTTTCCGTCGAAGGGGAAGGATGAGCTTCAAGCCTTTTCTGATTCTGATTTTGCAGGGTGTATTGATACCCACCGGTCTACGAGTGGTTGGTGTGTTCGCTTCGGGGAAGCCTTTATTTCTTGGCGTTGTAAGAAGCAGGACAAGGTTTCGAAGTCCTCGACTGAACCTGAGTATCGTTCCATGTCTGAAGTGGGTTCCGAGTTGGTCTGGTTGAGCCGTTTGCTAGCTGATTTTGGTGTCTCATGTCCCACCCCTATGTCGTTATACGTGGACAACACTAGTGCGATCCAGATTGTTGTGAACCCGGTCCTTCATGATAGGACTTAACTCATCAAGATACATATTCATTGCATCTGTGACTTGGTTCGTGATGAGGTGTTGCTTCTCCATTACTTGCCGACTGAGTAGCAGGTAGCCGATCTTTTCACTAAAACCTTCTCATCCAGTCGTTATTGGTACCTGTCTAGCACATTGATACTTCGCGAGCGGCATCAATTTGGGAGAGGATGTTAGCGGATTGGGTTAAACCCACTTGTATATATGTATCTCGTATGTAGGTGTTTATTTGGACTAAGTGTGTTTTAGCTCATGAGACTTTGTAAAGGGCTTGGGTTCACGTGCATGGGATTAGGGTTTAGAGAGCAACTATATATATATGGCATATATATATATATGGCAAAGGCTAGCGTACGTCCGGGCGTACCTTAGTCTACCGTACGCCCGTTGAGTTTTACTATTTAGATCATGAATTAACCGGAGTTTTTGGCATGATACTATACCCTAACCTATAATGGATAAACCCCAGTCCCTAATTTTCAAACCCAACTCATGAGTTTCATTTAATCTTAAAAAGTAAATCAACAGTAATTTTGACAAATCAAGACCTTTGATTTTCATTTCAAGATTGAATGAATATTATGCTTTGGATTAGTGAATTAGGGACTGGGGTTTATCCATTAGTGGTTAGGGTATTGTATCATGCCCAAAACTCCGGTTAATTCATTGTCTAAAGAGCATATATATATATGCTCTTTATGAGACTATAGCAGATCATCCGATTACACCATTGAATAAGATACCAGCTGGAGAGGATTCTCTCCCGTGGACTAGTCCCGTATATTGGGGATACCATGTATATCGAGTGTTATCGTTTCTTGTTTGTTGATTACGCTCAACTTGTTAAGAGATATTAGGTACCCAAAACAAAATGGATACTTGATTCTAGTGTAGCTTTTGCTTTTCTTTTTTTTTTTTTTTGTTATGGAACAAACTAAAAATGTGAAACCACCAACAATTGAAAGAAATAAATCCCACCGCAGGACCTGTACTGCACACGCAGACTGCTTTTACTGCTCATGCTGACCGAGATGTACTGTTATACCCCGGAAGCTGGCTCTGTGTGGGCTGGCGTTGGGTGGGGGCTCTTTGGGATCAGACGGGTGTTTGGCGGGTCGGTTGGGATGGAACTTGGTCGTTGGCCTGTTTTGGTCTGTTGGATCGGTTGTGGTCCACGAACGCGTTGGTCACCAGGGCCCCTCGGTGGCTGGAGCCTGCCCAGTTGCTTGATTGGATTTATTTAAGGCGGCCGGTCTATTTTCCTTGGCAGCTGTGTCACGGCCTTTGCAGGCGATCGACGTATCCGTGGGTGGGAGACTCAGAGATGGTGGGCCATAGGGGGACTGGAAGGGTTTATTGCAGTGGCTCTGCAAGTGGCTTAGGGCAAGGTCAGAGTATTTGAGGTGTGGAGCGTTTAAGAGGTGGGAGTCGTGCCGGTTTCGGAGGCTGAGAGAGAAGGGAGGTATGGGAGAAGAGAGGTATGTCTTGATGATGTAGACTGGGCATACTTTCTGAAACTGGAAAGGTAATTGAGGGGACTAATCAGGAAGCAGAGAAAGAAAAAAAAATATGAGGGGATAGAAGCTTGGTCAGGGAGGCAGAACAAATGAGATTGACGGTTGGCAGAGATATTTCGTTCGTTTGCTTTGTGTGGTTAATCTAATCTACCCGTGGTACTATATTCTCTCTCATCGAGGTCAGAGAAGCACTCTTCTCTTGAAATATATCTTCCTCTTTCTTTGCATTCGTTTTCTCTTCCTTTTCTTGACTGGGTTCATTCTCTCTCTTTCTATCTAGAAAAATGGGGTTTCTTTGATCCTCTTTTTTCAGGTTTGTTCATCGCCTCTCTCAGGAACAGAAGGATCCGAGCTTTGCATCAGAGCTGATTCTTCCTTCAGCTGTGAATCTCCTGTGGTGAGTCTTTCTATGGATGCTTTGTATTTCGTTTGTTTCAGTGGATCGATCGGAGTTCCCTGATTTCTTTTGTGATTTGACTGTTGGGATTTGAGTGTCCTGGAGTGGATTTGGAGCTATTTGGAAGAGGGAGGGAGGATTCGAAGAACACCCAGAACCACAGGTTCTATACTGATTTCATGTGATTGTTCCTCTGTCTCTCAAAATTTTGTTTCTGTCGTAATGGTTTATATATATTGATCATCTTTTGTTTTCTCTCTACTTTTGGCTCTCTTCTCATTTTCGAAACGAGTAGAGCTTGGAGCAATCAACTGGCAAATTTGAGAGGGTCGGAGAGGAATTGGAAGAGACTCAGATCCCCAAAGTATGTTTTCTGTGTTTTCCTGATTGAGATTTATGTTACTCTTTCATCACTTTAAATCTTAATGCACTTTCTCTTGCTGAGAGAGAAATTATTTATCTCATTAATTGGTTTCTTTCTTTTTCTTCTCACCTTCAAAAGATTGGTTGGAGCAAGAAGGGAGTGAGCTCTGCGCTGTCCACGGTGGGAAACTGAACAGCGGATTCAAGCGGTCGTTGCAAGCGGCCACCTAGGAATGGCCGAGAATCCATGTCTGACGTGGAGAGAACGCGGAGAAGACCTAGAATCGCCAGATCTGCTGCACCTATTCCTTTGTTGATCGGGGTTGGACAATACCCACGACCTGGGAAGACGAAGTCCACGACAAAGGGAAACCAGATTTGCGAACCATGCCGTTGAGAGGTGAGGTTTTGATGGTTTTGCTTTATCTTTTTTCTGTGGTGCTTAGCTTTTTTCAGTTTGTAATTCTTTTTCTTCTCTTTTCCAAAGAAATGCAGGCGACCAGTTCTTGACAGAGATTTCGTTGGTCGGGGGTGGATTGCTTGGATTTGAAGGGCAATCCGAAAATGGATTCCGGGTGAGATTTCTCGCTATCTCTCATCCGTCGATGTTGAGTACCTCTATATCTTACGCTGGTTCTTCTCTGTTTTCCTTTTTCGACGGTGTTTGTGAAGCAATCTCCTCATTGTTGGGCGGTCAATTAAGCCAGTAGGGTCGCCTTTGCTGGAGCAAGAAGTAATTGGTTCTAAGATGAGTGGAACCTTTGGTTGGTCACGATGAGTGGAACCCTTGGTTGGTCAATGGATTTTAAGGGTACAGAGAGGGCTGCAAGAAGATGCAGATCAACGTGTTGCCGTTTTGCATTTGGTAATTGTTTCTTTGATGATTGAGTTTGCCTTGCCTTCATGAATCTCATTTTTTCTTTGCTATTGCCGACCGCAATTTGACTTCAACTCTGTCATTTTTTCAGCTGTATTCTTAGACTACAACGAAGGTGGTTGGGTGTTTGGAACAAGGAATGAACACATGTGTACACTGGATTATCCCATGGTGATGGATTTTTAATCTTGCCATCCGCTTTTTTGTATTGTCTTTGGCCCATTGCGGTTGCAGTAGGTTGCATTCGAGTTTCGGGTAATGATGTTCTTCTTTTGTGTTGTTTGTGTGCTTTCAATGCTCTTAATGTTGAGCATGGTGTTCGTTTGTGGATTAGGAGATGATGTTATTCGTCTGTCCGTTTGGCTGATAGTGTCTTTTTTCCAATTGATGCACCGACGAGAAAATTTGGTCTCTTGCTGTGGCCTTTCATAGGATTATATATTATATTATGACAACAAATTTTTATTGTATAGCTGTTGGCTGCAGGATGATCAAATCAATACCAGCAAGCCTTCAAACTGCTATTCACCATTTGTTTTCCCTTACAGCTAACCGGTTTTCTTGGTGTGCCACTGATTGAAAATGTGATTCAAGCCCTCCATAATTGTAAAATGTGTACTTTGTGAAGGCATTCTAGAGACAAGTGTCAGGCTAAAAAAATAGGTAATTTGTATGTATGTGGGTGTTTTTTCGTTCAGCTATTGGAATTGTTTTTAGCTCAAGTATTACCGATTTTTAGTGTCTGTGTGTTCATGTGGTTATTGTCCTGTGAGGTTTGTCCTTGAGAACAATTCTCAGTCTCTATGACCAGTCTTTTCAGTCGATGACCAGTCTCCCTCATTTCCTGCAGTAGAAGGTAAGGTAAAGGTGGGGAGTCACATTTGATATAAATGGATCATTTTGTAGCTTAATATGCAGCACCACTCTTGCAATATCACCTATGGTCTCAGTACTGACTGTAGTGTTCCTATTCTGGTCATGTAGAAAATCATAGCATCGCTTAAGTGAGTCATCTAGATTCAAGCCTGTTTAGATTGCTTATGTCATGAAGGAGTTAGTTAAAAAGGTTAGATTGTTATGTTAGGTTGGTAGTCTTGATCATATTTCCATAATTAGATGTATTGCTTTGATGAGCATTTGTTCTATGATTGATAAGTGTTAGTTTTCTAAAACTTTTTGTGAATTTGCCCGATAGAAAATCATGAATCTAAGCAGAGATGAAAATGCATATTAAGTAGCAGAGAATCTCAGGAAAAATGCAGACTACCTAACGAGAATTAACAAACCTCTCAAGCTTTGCCAATTGATAACTTCTCAAATTATTATCAGCAATGGTACTGGTCCGCTGGATGCAGTATACGCAACCCAACAAAGAAACAAAAAGACAGACATTTTTACCCGTGTAAGCCGCGATAAAGAGCGGTGCCTCAAATGTAAAACAGGTGGAGTGTAGGCCCAAACAACAAAACCCAACGTCCATTCGTTTTATGACACCGTCACGGACAGTTTGCCCTTTCGAATCCCTGAACTGTCGCAAGGCTTCCGAAGAAACCAACCTCTGCGCCCTCGATCGCAAACCGCCGCGAAAGCCCCATACTTGGACCGCAGGAAATTCCTGCCACAAAGGTGGGTCCTCGACTACTTCTACGTCGCCATTCTTACAGTTCCTAAAATTACTGCTCATCGGTTTCTTCGTTGGGAAATCAGAAACCACACTTGAAATGGCCACGTCGCAGCAAGATCGGGAACGTGCACGATGCGATGCCATGGTCCCCACCGATCTTCAGGGTGAGTGCAGTCAGTTTTGGGTCGTTGGTCCTGTGAACATTATCGATTCCAATACGACCGCCCACTAAAAAAGGCTGGCCGCTTTGCTAAATCACAAAATCTTGAACTGTGTTACAGATCCTGTTGCATCTTCCGACACCTTTCGAGGTTTACGTTTGGGTTGCAACCATCGTACTGTGGTCGCACGGCTTGTCAGGTTATGGTTTCAAGTCAGGAGAGGAAACATGAGGAGGAAGAGAACCATGCACATGCTTTGGCTTGACAAAAAGGTTGTTGATTAAACACCAGACATCTTTGCAAGATCTCACCATTCTGCATTTTTCATTATAACAAATTTGTACATGGTGCTTTCAGCACTTAGATTACAAAGAATCTGAACAATTTCTCACATGCCAAAGGAGTGTTTCAATGATCAGCTGCTTTCTGACAGGACCGATTGCTCGAGGGAATGGTTGAGGAGGAGGACATCAGGGAAATTTCCACAAAAATCAAAGTCAACAAGCTCCATCGACTGGATACAGTTGTTGCTGTCCCTGCAAGAGGAACGGGTCGGATTGTTCACAGAGAATTACGCTTATTGCTGACATCCAGACAGCAAATTTCCTATATTCACGAGAACCCCGAGAATCCCCAGTTTCCCGTTCGCTCATACATAAACTCTGACTTTTCAGTGGCGCCAAGGCAAACAGATAGCTACGACTGCCATTCAGGTGCGCTTTCATTTGTTTATCTCATTACAATATCCTAATAAATGTTTTTGTGCCTTAACTCAATTTTATGATTTAGACATCATGGGATGCGTTAGGCGCCTAACATTCCCAAGAACAATTGATGGAACCTTGAAAGAGTTCCTTTTGGTCATCGAGGATGCGTGGTATATTTTCAAGAATTAATAACCATTATTTCCTTTATGAAAATTGACAGAATAACATATTTTTTATTACAAACAGTGGAGCAAAGGTTGTGGTTCGTTACCGTGGCTATGACATAGATGACTATTTAAAGGATGCACCAACTGCTGAAACTCGCTTGCCTCTTATCACAACTGTTAAGTTAGCAATGCGAGTGCCTCCTTCAAATGGCCATAAATATGCAATCGAATTTAAATCCACGCCTGCCAGTAGAGTGGTTATACGAACATACGCAGATGCCTTCAAGGACACCATGCACATGTACATTTCTTCCAATATTACCTGCACATTAGTTGACCAACAAATATTGCATCACCAATGATTCAACGCTAACACAATTTGTTTGCCTCCAATATAGTTTCCTAAGGAAGCGAAAACCAGTTCCTTACGTCAGAGTGGACACTGGGGAGAAGCTAGGTTGGCTGCGAGCACCAAGACCTGAAAAGAAGACACTTGGTGAGATTAAGGCAGCCCTTGGTTCTACAGCAAGCGGCAACAAGGTAGTCCCCTGCTGATTCTTTCATATCACGCAGGTTATCTACAGAGAATCCATCTGCATATCGACTCCAGCAATACCGGGGTAAGTGTTAATAATACCTGTGTCGTTTGTTCCCTAGCTAATACATATATTAGCTGCAAACCTAACGTTAACTCTTTGATACAAGCTTGCGCTATCAACTGGAAGCAAGATGTCGCGACGGTTCAGTGGAAGCTGACGTCGTGCTGGAACACGAGGCAGTTCTGTCATTTCTCTGTGTACCACCAAACAAGTACACGGCGCTGAGTAAGGAGGACATCAACCATTTGCTCGGGAGGCACCGTGGCAAGACATTTGCAGGGGAGCTATACATTGCGTGGCCAGATCTGAAGTGCCCAAATTCACATTCCGCGCCACACATCTGAATTCCCACGCTATGGAACGAATCAGCCTTTGACAAGTGATTCAGCATGCTTTGCCCAGTCCATTCACATGCTAGCTGTCAAATTCTGCAGAGAATGTCAAACAATTTATGCTTGTGTGCTTTTGCAATATGAGAACTTGCTATTAGGTTATCTTCTGTACTG